TGGCATGCTGTGTCCTAATATACTTGAATAAAAACATCGCAACTCCCAAGATAGGGACTTTAACTTAAAAAAAAAAATAAATAAATATAGGTTGTAAAATATAAAAGAAATATATAAGTTATTTAATATAAATAAATATAAAATAAAAATTCAGATTAAATATAAGTGAAATACAATACAAAATTTTAGTAGATTTAGATTATAGATAAATTAATCTAAATTTTATGTTCTATAGATATATAGAGTAATTAACAATGTATAATGTAAAAACTTGTATAAACTATAATAATATATACAAATAAAAAACTAAAAGCACCATTAATATTAAAAAAAAAACAAGCTAAAAGCATGATTTTACTTAAAAAAAAACTTCTTCAAAATTTTAATTAAAGATATCTTAATAATTATTTGATTAAAATTAATGAACCTTTTTTTTATTTGAATTCTACAGATCTATATAATTTAAATAAAATAAAATTTATTAATTTTAATTAAATAGTTGTCAAGATATCTTCAAAGTTTTGAAAAATTTAAAACAGTTATATTATTTAATAATACTATAACTATATCAATATTTATACCAAAACTTTGATCAAAGATATCTTAACAACCACTTGATCAAAATTGAACTTTTTTTATTTGAATTTTACAAATTTATAGAATTCAAATAAAAAAAAATTCATCAATTTTGGTCAAGTGGTTGCTAAGATATATTCACTCAATATTTTAAATATTTATAAACAAAAAAATGATAAAATCTAAGTGATCTTTAGTATAACCTTGATGCAAATAGCAATTCCCAATATATGGGGGTGAGTCAATAGAAATCAAGCAAATTGTTTTTATTAAAATTTTTTTAAACCTTTAAACAACAATAATTCAATAAAAACTTAATAAAATTTAATAAAAATTTTTTTAAATGAATTCTACAAATTTGTAGCATTCATTTTAAAAAAGTTTTATAAAATTTTATAAAGTTTTAGTTAAGTTATCTTTGTTTAAAGTTTCAAAAAAATTTACTTAGAAAAAAATTGCTTGATTTCTATTGACTCACTCCCATATATTATATTATAATTACTAAGTTATTATTAATTAATATTAGTAATAAAAACTCTTGGTATTTGACTAATTTAATTAATTGGAAATATCCCATTAGTTTCCCGTGAACCACTTAACATTCCCGATGAACTTGAATAGCTTACTTTAAAATATCTAGCTTAATAAACGCCGAGACCCCGATGCATCTGCTATTATCGCAAGCCGGTTACAATCACTAGTTAAATTTGAAGCTCCGTATGCCATTTTTGAAGAGCATGATTTTTAAAATATCGTCCACAAGTGTTATTTCACGCTTATACAATAAAAAATAATCATCTAACTTTACAAATTACGTACTTGTTTGCAATATGTTAAATATTTTACAAAATTCTTGTATTAGTTTATTTTACAAACATTTATTCTAATAAATCTACAATCATTATATATTTAAAAATATAAATTTCGCAATACAATTTAATGGGCTTGTTAATAACATAAATAGATTTTTAAAACTGATTGATAGCCCTGTTATCGTTTATCAATAGTAAATATAACCAAAAATAATCATTATATTCAAATATTATAACTAGAAGAATAAAAAAAATTTCATCTAACAAGCAAATGATTATTATTACTAATATAAATTAACATCAAGTCTAATTTTTTTCTATTATTATATGATTGATTCTATACTAATTTTTTGCAGTACATTGTGGATTACCATAATTGAAGTTTGCTTTCGAAAGTTTTACTCTCTCTTGCCTCCCAATACCCACCCTTATAAACCCATTCCTCGCCCTCTAATTTAAACCACTGCGGAACCCATGGCTCACCTTTTTCTTCAAGTAATTTTCTATATTCTCTTTGTTTTTGTTCAAGACGAAGCTTTTCAGTTTCAGCTTCTTGTATCCGTCCATTCTCAAATAGCCTTTGATCTGGTCTAAGCCTAGTATCAGTATTTGGTAAGTATTCTTCAATATCTGGTGTTAATTCATTTAATTCTACACAAAATTGTGTAAATCCATAATATTGCTCATGATTTGGTAATGACGGATTTACTTTCCAAATTACTTCTAATTGATTTGGTCCTCCTTTTTCTTGAAATATCATTTCATTCCATTTACCACCAATTTTCCCAACATTTTCACCTTTTTCTGAAAACAATAGACCGGCTATTTCGCTCTTTGGTGCACTACTCCACATTCCACTTTGATTAAATTTGATCTCACAAGCTTCACCAGTTGTTTTATTTTCTACACGCATTAATCCTACATGTTCCAAATATTTTGTACCGGATATCATGTTACGCACGCATGTAGAAGGTTTTGAATATGTAAAATGATCATTATATTTTGGTATTGTTACGTGTATTGTACCGATTGGTATAAGTTCCTATTATTATTATGAATTATTATTTATATTATTTTTTTTAGAAAAATATATGCTGGTTAAGCGCATGTATTAATAATAAAATTTTTTATGCATACCATTGATTTACCTAAAATTGAGATTTGTTAAAATCCAAATTACAAAATAAATGCATAAGCTAAAAACTAAATCCACAAGTTCGTTACTTACCCCAGAATTTACTTTTGATTTTCGAATCTTGCCAGTAATTCCAATTCGAAGAATCAGCATGGCACTATAAAATTATAAATATTAAAATAATTTGTTGAAAAGGATAAAACAAAACCATATAGTGCGTTTACTTACCGCCATTATCGGCGGATAGTGACTAACTTTTTCTGAAATAAACCTAAAACCTATTCGAATATACTATAGTGTAAACATAAAGGTAAAATTGTATAACCGCTAATTGTAATTTCCATACCTTTATCTGGTCGAACACATTCGTAAGTTTCACCATGAAGAGGATTATAAGGTTTTCTACCTGTTCTAGTATATGTTGAAGCATATCCTGATACTGCGAATGCTGCTACATGGATTAATCTATCCAATGAATTATCTAGACTCGCAGCCTTATCTAATAACTCGCTATATTCTAAGGCTTCCGCCATACTTTGTAAAATATTTATAGGTTCATTAAGGGAAATTGGTATTGCGATTGTTGACAAATCTTTACCAACATTTTTTCTTAAAATAGAAAGTAAACTGACATCTTCGCCACAAATAGGGGCAGGAAGAACTTTCCTCCTCTGTATTAACGTTAGTTTATTAGTATCAGATATATCTTTGATTGAAGGTTTGTCAAGAGTTTTATCCATTGATGAAGGCGAATCAAAGTCACTTTCTTCGTCACTAATATTAGCGTTAGTGACATCTACATCACTCTCTGTCACTGAAAGATCTTCAGTCAAGTCAATATCTTCAGCATCAAAGAATACATCAGAGTGAGTATTCATCGTGCTCATAGATACAGTTCTGAGTTTTTTTATATGATTAATATCCGTAATTTCAGATGTTTTATCAGGATGACCGTTCTCTAACCTTTCATCAAAGTTATCTGATTTAAATAAGGACTTGCGTAAATCAGCATTTTCTGTTACAAGTTTATTGTATGAATATTCCAATGCCTTCCATTTCTCAATTTCAACACGCAACAAATTAAATGCTTGATCCTTTTCATTTTTTAAAATTTTAATATTAGCAGTTAATTTCTCACAAATTTGATCTAATGGTATCTGCGAAGGTGGCATAACTTGTTCGGTTGTTCCTAAAAATAGAAGCACCTCAGATATCAGTGATAAATACTTTGTCGTATGATTTATTGTGGCGGCTTATGCTGAGATTTGGGGTCTCTATTTAAATCTATAATATCTACTAGAATCCATATATACTAACCCTAAACCCTAACCTAACTGAAAAAAATTTTATAATTTCATAATAAAATAGATCAAATTCTCAGCGTAAACTACCACATTTATTTTCCGATTTCTTTAATTACCTCTTTGTAAAGGCAGAGTAAACTTTTTACGGGGTTTTCCTTCAATGTTCGGACTTGGTTGTGCAGATTTAGGATGACCATTAGGTATCTGATTCTCAATTGCATTTTTAAAAATATCCAAATCATTTTCAATAGTTTTGAACTCATTTTCCATGTTATTAAATACACTATAAATTTTTTTAAGGTCCTCATCTAAATTATTTTGAAGAAAATAACCAGAGATATCACCATTTTTACTTATGCTTTGTCGTTTTTCCATTAAGGATTGTCGCTTAAAATATAAACTCTGTCGTCTTTCAAGATCACCTGAATGCTGAGAAGCTACTCTGGGATATTCAGGATCACAAAATTGTCTTTCATTAGAAAGATTTATATATTTACGAATAACGGTCATCCATTCATCAAATTCTTTGTCAGTGAACGCTTTAAAATGATATGTCACAGTTCCAGAATCCATATGTATTAAACGCGTTGATTGAATGGACGAAACGGCTGAAAGAGCAATATGTATCGTCCCTCGACAATTACTATCGGGATGTTGATAATATGAAAGCCAACCATTGTCAATTTGAATCCAACGTTTTGCCCAACCTGTATAATAATTAATATATAAATAAAGAAGGGAAATTTGAACAAATTCTAGATTTACATATAAGTAGGATTCTAACCTTGCATTTTTTTCTTCTTTTTTTTTAACAACCAACCGGATATATCTGGTTTTGATTCTTCTTGATCATTATCTAAATCTGTATAAATTAATTTTGTATTAATTTTGAAATTTAAAGGTAATATAATCGGAAGTCTAAAAACAACATTACCATCTTTTAATGTCACCGAAAACGATAGAGACTTGGAGGTAGTTCGAGAAAACGAATTATCTTTTAAGATAAATAGATAAAAAAAATTATATAAACATGATAGCATATTAATTAAGCTAATATTGGAAAATAAAATAACGGTATTTATTACCGAAGCATAAACAATAAATTCCTTCTTCAGTTACTTTATAACTGCCTTTAATTGTGTTAAGAGCGGAATTATAATGTTCGATAGGTAATATCTCTTTTAAATCAGGATCTTTAATGATTAGCGTAGAACCAGCTCTCTTACGTCCTCGGGTTGTCACAGGAGGGTCATTTATCGAGGCAGAATTCGAATCCACTAATGTGGAACCCACATCGCCTTCATTTGAATCATCATTATCTTCAACCTTGATAGTTTCCAAAGAGTTTTTGCTTTTAAGACTAACTGAATAAGTACTTTTTGTCGAAGATTTAGGAGTGGTAACAGTATGTTTTATAGAAGTAGAAAATAAGCTGCCACCCTCTTCTTTAAAAGTTCCAGTCGAACCTGAAGTCGCTATTGTAGATTTTCTTTGGTACAAACCAAACGAAATATTTTTTTTCTTAGTAGAAAAGGACCATATAATAGTTTTTCCAATCGGCACATTGATATAGTGGACGAAAATGTCTCTAGGAGGGACTTCAACTTCTTGCATATTAAAAAATTGAGTGAAGTGAGCAAAAGCATAAAAGATACACAAACTGCATGCGTTCTTGGTTTGCTTTTTTATAAATGTAGTGAAACAAAATCTAAACTAACCGTACAAGTATTGATGAAACCAAACCAAGCATAAAGATTATTATTATGTCGTCTTCGCGTTGAAATAAATTAATTGGTTTTTATTAGTACACCATACAATCGGACAATTCTGTATCTTAATTATTACCGTTACTGTACTGAATTATGTATGCATGCCGATCAATTTTATTCTTCACCAATTAGAATCATTGAATTTTATCGCACGTTTTTATCATTATAATTACGTACATTATGTGTAGGTACGTGCGTGTATTACAATGTTGGTCAGATCAGTAGCACCTAACGATTACGATAAACAAAAGAATTAAGATTCGCAGAAAAATCTTTACTTGGCCATTATTAGATAGAAAGATAGAGACTATTAAAGGTCTAAAGAACTATCGTTACGTATATTCTAATTTAATTTTTATACACCTGATTGTTATTTCTGATTAACCAACTATTGAGCTAACGTAAAAATTAAATGATCCATATTAGGCCATACTTGGTTTTAATAAGTATCATGGAACACTGATCAGTGACGCAGGTACGCGGCTTTTTTTTTATAGTAAAAAATTTTTTTAAAAAAAATTATTATAGTTTATTATTTTTACAAAATACAAAGTAATATAATATCTACATTAGTATTGCTTGTTGTTAATATTAACTGTGATTTTTTTATAGTATAACTAGGATTGTAATACTTGTAATTTTTAAATATAATTTTAATAATATGTTGCAATTTATAAAAATATAATATAAAATTATAACAATTTTAGTATTTATCGCCGGTGGCGATACCACCACCTCTTATTTCTTTTATCAAATTTAGAGATAGGGTGCAATTTTAGACCAAGGTTAGGGTTAGGTATAAAGGTCCAAATCTTTGTTATGGTTAAGTTTTTGGGGGTCCTGAACATTTTTACTTAGTACCTTCGACATGTGTTAGCTAGTAGATTTTTGAGATATAGTATCCCTGGCGATATCACCACTGGCGATAAATAGCAAAATAAATAAGGTACTTGATGATGAGTTTGATGTATTTAACTATATTAATATATTTTATGTATATAATAGAAATTATAATTTAAGATAAACATTTATATATTTTTATATTCAAATTAATAGATTTTGAATAAATGAATAAATCGTTTTATATTGAATAAAATAACTGTTTATTATTGTTATGCAAAATAAAAATAGAATATTGCATTTAGTAAATGTTACATTATTGAAATATGTAATATATGATTAGTTTTTTAATAAGATAATTGTATAACATAAAATTAAAAATGAAAACTTAATACATTTCTCTATTATAAATTATCAAAATTTATTAGTAATATATAAAGATTTTTTTTATAGTTTTTTTAGCAATAAAATTTTGATATCTTATTTATTAATTTGGTTCTTATTTTTTTTATTTATTAGTTATCAAAGTAAACTATTATTTGTAATAGTTTAATAGTAAATGAAATATTTATTAATATTAATTACAGCATAAATATATTGAGGTATATTTTTAATAAGATTCTCTAAAGCAAATCCATCTAAATTAAACAATTTCTTTAGTAACAAATTAAATAATTTTAATTAATTGTCTAATAAAGAAATGTATTTATAAATATAATATTTTAATTTATTTCAAATATGTTTAATAAGATTAAAATCAAAATTGCATAAAGGTTAAATAAGTTTTTTAATATTATTTTTAGTAAGTCAATTTTTAATAAATATTAAGCTGTAAATTCTAGCATTATTAGCTTAAAAAAATTATTTTGCAAATAATACTGTTATTGGTTGCTTTATATCTAATAATTATATATTATATTTTTTTAAAAGTTTTTTATAAACATATATACAGTTATCATTTTCAAATATTTTATAATATAATTTATTACTTTAAATATATTTTTTTATTTTTTATTTTTATATTCTCTTTTTTTTTATCTATTGCAAATAAAGCACATAATATTCTTTAACTTTTTTTATCAATCTATTTAAAAGTTCTTTCTTATAAAAGTAACATTGTATAATATTTATAAATGTTTTAGTAAATATTAATTCTACAAACTTGTTAGTTAAAATATTTAAAGAAAATTTTTTATTCTGATTTAATAATTAAGTTAGATAACAAATATTATATTTCATTATTTTAAGTGATCTTTTGAAATAAGAAAATGATTTTATTTTACTAACCTTTATGTAATATAATTAGGTCACAGACAGTACTTCTGAATAATTCTTGAATTCTTATAATAGTAGTTAGTTTTATACTATTTTTTCAAATGTTAACAATTTGGTTGTACTAGTTTACAATAAGCTCTTTCTGTTTTTGATTTATAAAAAAAAACATAAGATAACTATATATAAAAGGTTCTGATAAAATTATAAAAAAAATTGTAAGAAACCAATAAGACTGTTTGTTTAAAAAAATTTACAAATAATAAATTATAAAAATAAATCCTATATAATTTTAAAAATTTTGATAATTTATAATAAAAGAATGTATACTAAATATAAATTTTTTTATATTCTCATAAAATTTTAATACAACCATAATCCTCTAACACTAATCTAATAAAAATCAACTTTAAATAATTAAGTTACCAACATTGTCATCATTGTTATCCATAAACCATAAAACATAATGCCACAACAAAGTCTTAATATCATCTAAGGTAATAAATTATTTTTAATTTATCATTAGCAGAAAATGATTTTATTTCACTCATCTATGTTCTTGAAAGTTGTTTTACATATAAAAAATTGTAAATATTTTTATTATATAGTTATAATAAATTATCTGGATAATCAGATAATTTAATAATAACTAGATGAAAATTTTTTGATGGGTACAATTTCTAGTTACAAGCAATAAGTGTCATTTCTAGGGATAGGAACAGCTTGAGTTGGCTCGGCTCAAAAGCCGTGATGAGCCAGCTCGAGTTGGCCATCCCTATCCATAGTTATTTTTGAAAATAAAAATAAAACTGCATCATAAATCCCGCGAGTAAATAATTAAACGCCACAAATGTCGAGACCTTGAATTTTCGGATATGATGCGTGAGACATGTCAACTGAATAAACAGGTGCGAAGCTAAAACATCCTTAATGAAATATACGCGTGGTAATGTGTTTGAAACCCTAAGCAATGCTTCAAGAGAAAGCATCAAGAAGGGATGATCAAAGCTTCTCGTAATCATACTTTCAAGAAGTTATTTAAAGAGCATAACATCGAAAATAGTTGGTTACGACCCTTATGTGCGGGAAAGAAGCACGTAAAGCTTACTATAATAAATTTATTACAAGACTCAAATCGCACTATAGCCACGCTTCGGGTGAGTTACCTTACTCATTTCATCCATTTCCCCTATATTAGTTCATATTGTTGTTAAATCCACCCCATGACGAAAATGCTGATAGAAAATACAATATAATCATTATACAGTATATTTTATCAGCATTCTCTATTTTTGCAGTTCTTTGAAAATGAATGAATGCCTTATATTCATCCTTTTCAATACCAATTCTTTCGTCATATCAATATCCAATTCCAATTCCAATAAAATAATGATTCTTGCCTGGATTAGACATTCCATCAGCGTTTTATATCTCCGGATTTTTGAAAATGAAAAACATCTTAAATTCTTCGTCATAACAATGTCCAACATTAATTAATATACTGTAATTAAATGATAAACTGAGTTACATTTTCATGTTGTAAAATGGCGTTACAAATAACTAACACGTGGACCCATTTACAAGGTGGAACCAACAACCGAATAACGATATTCCGAATTTTAACTAAATCGAATTATCCGGCAAACATATGATACTTTCTGTTATTTTTTTTAATGTGTTACGAACTATGTAATCATGTTTACTCAAATTAATAACTCCATACCAATCATGATCATAAATTGCCAGATAACACCATTATCGTTATTGGGCAAATTGTCGTTGTAATTTGGTAATTTGGCAAACGATTGACTAAATGTGCCACGAAGCGGCACGTGTCCATTTGCCATATTACCATTATAATATATACGTACGTACCTGGTTATCCTCCTAACAAATATTATTTACAAGTCGTCATTCTGGCTTATTATGTTTATGCCATAACACAAGATAAAGTTTATGATTGTAAGTGTCTCCCGGATATCTGTCGTAGTTAATCAAGACGAATGAACTCCGGTTTGTCTGAACGGATAGATGGATGTCAATGCTCGCTTAAAGTATGCTATATAAGTATATAATGGTAATGAATTGTTTCTTAAATTTAATAAATGCGAATCAAGAACGAACTTTTTGAGTGGTAAGTGAATTACGTATTTTTTGTAACAGGAGGAACTGTCGATGTTACACGATTGATCCTTCACCTGGTGTGCAACATAAAAAAAAAACCACTATTTTAAAATACCACTAGTGCATTTTATGATTATAATCCAACACCATTTTATTATAATCATAACATGTACTAACAGTATTTTAAAATAATTTTTTTATATGCTGCGCACCAGGTGAAGGATCAATCGTGTAACATCGACAGTTCCTCCTGTTATTTTTTGCCTGATCCAAATATTTGTGTAATCGGAAAATGTTATTAGTGTCACGCCCGGTTGTACTTATTATGCATATATAGTTCGCTGCTTATCGTTATTTCGCAAATTAGGAATATTACGATTGATTACTCCCTTAACGATAATGAATGTTACAGCTCAGTTCCGAAAATGGTAGTTTATGTAATTTATACACATTACTTTCTGCACTTAAACTGGAGTTTTTAATACGTAACAGTCTTTCTTTTCTAAACTATTTTTATTTTACTTTATAGATTTTTTATTATTAAAATATTATAGATTTAATTGTTTTTAGAATTGTGGCTTTTGTCATGTAAGTTATTTAATAACTAACGAAGAAAGTTCGGATTGTTGTTTGTCTATTTTGTAAATTAATTGAACTTTTGATATACAGATTTACTTCTATTCTATAATGGGTGTTCTCTCGCGTAATGAAATAAAGAAATACTTGGATGAAAAGTACATTGTTTATGATTTTTGTAATATGAAAACGATCGATCGTCTATTAGCATACTTATTATTCTAAATATTGTTCTCGATCCTCTTCTTCCAAATTGGTTTTATTCCAAATTGGTTTTAAAAGGAAACTTATAATTGAACCTTTCGATCAAAAAAATGTTGGTACTGCAAGGTTTGTATATTTCTAGAAAATATAATATAGATTTAAAGTTTCGATCCAATGTTTTTTCTTTTACTTAATAATCATGCCCTCACTTTTACTTCAAACAGCGTCGACCTAACTCTTTCAGACGAATTTAGATACTTTATTCATCATAATGGACCGGTTCCAATTAGTGATGAAGCCGGCGCTAAAGATTATCAAAAGTTTTCTCGTGTAGTAAGTATGAAAACCCCTTGAAACTCTATTCTTTTTTAGAACAGAAACCTTTAAATGATAAGGTGTCATAAATTGGGTTTATTAAAGAAATAAATATATGATATCTTAAACATTAATGTCACGATGTTGAATTCTAGCTGAAAGTAGAGGATGGTAAACCGTATTATCTTGGCCCTGGTCAAATGTGTTTAGGTGACTTATATTTTTCATCCTTATCAATGATTACTTTTTCTAAGTAATAATGTAACTTTTTGATTCTAGGAATCACTCGGGAAATGGTCTCATTACCTTCAGACATTTGCGCATTAGTAGGTATTGTAAATCGTTATTTATATCATTAAGTCATATTCTCGTCATCTTATTACGTCTAATTGATCTATTCCATGAGCAGAAGGGCGATCTAGGTTTGCTCGATTAGGTTTGTCCGTACATATTACAGCCTCATTTATTCATCCTGGTGTAAAGAATCAAACGGTTTTGGAAATTTTTAATGCATCGAGTCTTACATTGGCTCTTCATCCAGGTACCAAAGTTTGTCAAATGATTTTTATGACTATGGAAGGACAAGCTGAATATTCTGGAATTTTCCAAGGACAAGCCCTATAACAAATTACATTATGTTATTCGGATTTCATTTTATTTTTAATGATGATAATATATGTTGTACTATGATGTATCTTAATATTTTTGTTTTATAAATTTTACTTGATCTGTAAGATGAAATTATATTAGATTTTAGACTACATTAAGTGATCTGTAAACTTTAATTCAAAGAATCATTAAACCTTAATTTTTATAATCTAGAATTTTTATACTCGATGATTTAGATGTGTGTTAGTATTTTCATATATTATACATATTATACTCAACTTAGGAGTGATTTTGTTGCATCTGACTTTGACTAATCCAACAAACATCTTATTTATCCATGGAAATTCCCTCGAACTCATAATTGATCTTTGTATATATCAATCAATAAATGCATGTCTCTTAATCTACGAGCAAATGTTTTTATTAAGAAATCGACATCTGTTTATAATTCCAATTTCTTATAACTAGCTCACTATAAAAAATATTGTTTCCAGATGCAAATTTTACTTTATCCAGCATCTAATAAAGTTTTTCTTGCAAATTACTCTTGTTTTATGTAATATCGCTCTCATAATTCTTAAAAGGATATTGAGCAGACCCAACATTGCCCACAAAAAAATGTAGCTTACATAATAAATTTATCACTTGAAGTTTTTTAGCATATCGCATAAATTATCTATTGAAATAGATAGATAAAACTATGAGAAAAAGGACCACCTAGTTTTTTAAGTATATCGTTGATTATTTATCCGATTTAGCCCATCTAATCGATAACACATCAGGTTTAAATTAATTGAACATGATATACAATAGCGGTAGCAATACAATTTGAACTAAGCCGATATGTATTGATCAGAGAGGCTGAATCAAATTCATAGGAAGACTTTTTGATTGATTGGCTGTTTAATAAATTTAATTTTGCATTATTTATACAGTTTATAAAAAGGTTTATTAGGGTTGTAGGGCTCAACCATTAAAAATAATCAGAATCCCTGTTTGTTTTAGAGAAGCTAGCATAATAGCGACTTCTTAAAGATAGATAGAATTAGGTTATCACCATTCTAACTTCTCTAAAACAAACAGGGATTCTGATTATTTTTAATAGTAAAGCCCTACAACCTTAATAAAACTTTCTATATTCTTCTTTTTTGTTTATTCTTTATAAAAAAGTACTTTAAACTATATAAATAATGTAAAATTAAATTGATTTAAATAGCTAATCATACGAAAGTCTTCTTATGAGAATCTGATAAATAAACAATAATATCTTAAAAAACCAAGTGGCTCTTTTCCCTTGGCAGCACTCATATGAAATCAAGAGCTTTAATTATGACGTAGCTACATTTTTGTGAGTCTGCTTGGCCTAACAGTCATTCGGTCAATGTTTTACCAGGTGTCCCAAAAATAATGAAAATAGCGGATCTTAAATTCACTGACAGTACGTTTCACCGACAAGTTTTTTTTTTATAAATTACACTAACTTTAACTCTAATTCTAACCAGAATTACTTTGTCAGTGAAATGAACGTGTCGGTGAATCGTACTGTCAGTCGATGAAATGAATGGAACCATTTAAAAATTATACACCGTATTTTCGCGAAATAACGTGCAGGGGTGAAATTATGAATTTCGGCCTAAATTAAGCTTAATTCGGGCCATTATTCGAAATAACTCCCATTTCGCGAAAATACAGGTATATCAGTTTTGAATCAACTACGTACGTACAAACTTAAACGAATCGGTCGAAAAATCATTCAGTAAATTTTTATTAAGTGTCCCAGAATTTATGATAACAGTTGTAAAAAAAAAGAGGAATTTTATTTTTTACAGACTCTGGGACACCTTATGAAAAATTAACCGAATGCTGATTCGATAAATTATTTACTTACGTCTGATACATACGAAGATGCTAATCGATTTATGATTTCATAATACTTTATTAAGTAATAAATGACGATTTCGATTTATTTTTTTCAAAATATTTATAAATTTTTAACAAATATTTTAATAAATGATGATTTCGTTTTATTTTTTTCAAAATATATATAATTTTAACAAATATTTTTAAAATAAACATTCTATTTTTTATATTTTTACACTCTTTATTAACTGATTTCAAATATTATAATATTACATAAATTTAAAAACAATTATTTTTTAAAAAAAATATTAAGTTTTTTATATAAAAATTACAATTTTGAACAAACTTAAATTGAATTCATTAGTTTTGAGTATTTTGTTATTTTGTGTAATATAATCTATATTATACTAGTATAAAAAAAAACAAAAAAGTGAATAAATTGCATAATAATTGAAAAATCAAATAAGGATGTTTACAGTAATTATGGTTACAAAATTACTGTGATTACAAAAAACTTTCAGTTGTTTAATTTTATGTATTCATTTAACACCTACAATAATTAATATCTAATTTTTATTTACCTAACCTTTTTAAAGAATAATTACCTTAATTAATCAGTCTTGTGAACAAGAAATAAAAATATTAACTAAAATAGTATTTTTAAAATCATTAAAAAATAAATAGACATTCATAACAAGTTATTAACTATAGGACTTAATGTCTAACTAATAACTTTTACAAATTATAACTTAAAATATTATTATTATCTTTGATTTCTAGTTAAAAAATTGTAAATAAACTAGTAATTTGATCCATTTAAAAAATTATTATTTGGGTCACTTGATGAATAAGCTATAAGTATCTGAATAAAAATCAGATTAGATAAAAAATATTACTTATTCAGGTTACTTATTCATTATTGGTATATTATAAAAAAGTACTAGGTAGTACATATTGTTTAACTAATTTTAATTAAATTCAAAAATTTATAATTCAATTATTAAGTTTTTTTTTTTTTTTTTTTTTTTTTTTGGTATTAAGGTGAGGCCTTGCTTATATCTTTATTAATAATTTAAAATAGTT